AAAGTATGATACTCTCTCTGAAAGGTCAGTCACATGCCATGCTTGGAGCATGACTCGAGTGGCAGAGTGCCTGCCTAACAGGTGGAAATCCCTGAGTCCAAACTCTACACACACACACACACACACACACACACACACACACACACACACACACACACACAAGAATCAAAACCGCCGGGCGCCGGCAGCTGGCGCCTGTCATCGCAGCTACCCAGGAGGCTGAGATCTGAGGGTCTTGGTTCAAAGCCAGCCTGGGCAGAAAAGTCCATGAGACTCTGATCTCCAATGAACCACCAGAAAACGGGAAGTGGTGCTGTGGCTTAAATGTAGAGCACTTGCCTTGAGCTGAAGAGCTGGGGACAGCGCCCAGGCCCAGAGTTCAAGCCCCACAACCAACAAAAAAAAAAAGAAAAGAAACAAGAAGCCTCATGTTGCCAGGCTGGGGTCCAAGTGCACAATGCGGCAGGAAGCAAGCACTGACTTGTTAACAATCAGTGTGAAGAATGGCTAGAGGCGTGACTCAGAGGACCATGAATTCAAATTCTAGTACCTCAAAAGAAACGTAATGATTAAGAAATGAACAAGTCAAATTCAGCGTATAGTCAAAAACCAAAGCTTCAAAAAGGCATTTGTGAGAATAAAAGGCTATCCCTTCTTCTCTTCCTGTTCTGGCAGCAGGACGTGAAGAACAAAGCCAGGTGTGGTGGTGCACACCTGTAGTCTCAGCATGTGAGACACTGAGTCTGAAGTCAGCCCGGGAGACCTGGGGAGGCCACATGGCAGGTTCGAAGCGAATCCAGAGCACGGATGTCAGTCTCCAGACCTGCCACCGTGTCCCCTGCCAGCCTTCGAGTGCTCAGAGGCAGAGAGGCCACGCTAGACAGGGCTGCTCCTCTGAACTGCTTTCCTCCTGTTAGCTACGACACAGAGACAATGGTAACACATGAATTGACATTAACAACACAGGGCGGGGTAAATCCACGGGAAACATCTGCCTGACTCCTGCCACCAGTGAGCGGCACCTTTAAACATACATGTCCCAGTCTCACAGCTTGTGCGGTGTAGTTCTTAGGGAGCACATTTAGGAGAAAAAACCTCTGCACACAGATTCACTTGACTTCAGTCTACGTCCACACGGCTAAGCAAGAGGATCAAGGACACCACGGACAAGGATTTCTGCACAGGGACTTGGGGGGCCGGCTGTGTGCTGTGAAACGAAATCAGTGAGACTGACTGGGAGGGAGAGGCAGAGGCAAGCGGGGTCCCTAGCAAGCGAGCGGCAGGCAGATCAAGTAAAGACCAGTCACCCACCCCTGTAATACTCAGTGCAGTTTCCTTTCCCTTGATTTGTTCCTTGCTTAGGACAGCCTGCTGTCTCCCTGAAGCAGAACACACACAGCTGCTCCTCTCCACCAGCAGCGCCCGGTCACCGCTCTGCCAGCCAACTACATCAACAGTGTCTGGGGCTGGGAAGGTGGCTCAGTGGTAGAGCGCTCGCCTTGCATGCATGAGGCCCTGGGTTCGATTCCTCAGCACCTCAGAAGCAGAAGCCGGAAGTGGTGCTGTGGCTCAAGTGGTAGAGCACTAGCCTTGAGCTGAAGAGCTGAGGGACAGCACCTAGACCCAGAGTTCAAGCCCCATGACCGACCCCCCCCCCAAAAAAAAAACAAAGACTGACTCCACACTTCACAGGTCAAAATGGTTAACCAGAGCTTAAAAGTACAAAAATCCTTCTCTACGGAACCATTTCCACACAAATGATACAGCAATTTATGCCAGTGCTGCAGTAATCCATTTCCACACGGAAGACAAATCTCTAGAGCCTGAAGCTTCTCAGCAATTCACTAAGGAAAACATGACAGAAAGTTGTTTTAAAAGGGGGATGGCGAAGAACAACGGAAGGGGCAAAGGTGAACGTGTGTGTGTGTGGACACACAACCAACCAAATCACATAAGTCCCTACATTTAGTTTCACCCATACTTAAGACAGAATACATGATTAGATAATGCTGATTCAGAAATAATGCTTTCTTCCACTTCTACAATTCAGCAAAACTTTGTTTTGTTAGAGACAGAGTCTCCTCCTACAGCTGAAGCTGGCCTTAAACTCATAATCCTCCTGCTTCAGCCTGGTATTACAGGCATGAACCACACCTGGCCCAACAAAACAATACTCACACCCTTTAGAGGCATCAGTTCACCAAAGACAGAAGATGCACCATTGCTTTCTGTATCACTAGGGAAAAAAAATCATGCCATGCTTTTTCATATAAACATGCTCTCAAATGGCGCTGTGGCTTAAGCAGTAGAGCACTAGCCTTGAGCTGAAGAGCTGAGGGACAGCGTTCAGGCCCAGAGTTCAAGCCCCATGACTGACAAAAATAAATAAATAAACATGCTCCCATTTCAGAGATGTTAAAATGTAAACACAAAGTCAGAATGGGTATTTAACTGTGACAAAATGAGGAAAGAGAAAATTATCTTTACTTTATTTAATCTATGGACTAGAAGCAACCCCACTGAATTAAATTATGTAAGAATATTTAATGCATTTGAACTGACACACTTTCAGAGAAAAACACAACCAGGTGTTAACATGTTGTAAGCGTGTGTATGTATATTCATGCCAACACACTATACACATGTGTGCATTCACATGTTAACGCCTTGTGAACATATATGAATATATTCTCAATATTAACACATGTGCATGTATAGTCATTGTGAGCATCTAAAAGACAAATATAAAGTTGGTATTTTCAATGTAACTATCGAGGAATTAGGGACTACAGTAGCTCCCATCTTTTAAGTTCTAAAGATTCTGTACCTCACAGAACACGGGTGACTTGATAGACAATAAAAGGACCACCAAACTTGGCGCCAGTGCCTCCCGCCTATAATACTACTCAGGAGGCTGAGATGTGAGGATCATGGTTCCAAGCCAGCCTGGGCAGAAGAGTTCCTAAGAGACTCTTTATCTCCAATGAACCACTCAAAAACTGGAAGTGGTGCTGTGGCTCAAAGTGGTAGAGTGCTAGCCTTGAGCCAGAGAGCTCAGGGACAGTGCCCCGGTCCTGAGTTTAAGCCCCAAACTGACAAAAAAAAAAAAAAAAGAAAGAAAAAAATAAAAGGAAAAAGGTACCACCTAGATTTCCTATGTGCTGCGTCAACTGGCTATTCTTTAACATTGATCAAGCACAATCCCAAGCAAGCCAGAGCGTGGCAAGAGCAGCGGCAGCAGTGTACTCCAGCGCAGAACCGAAGCCTTACGCATTGCTCACTTTTCAGGAAGCCCCACACAAACCCCCCTGACAGTGCGGGGACAGAAACCTGGCTGGCGTGGATGGTACAACTGGTGGGAGACTGGCTTTCTGAGAAACACCATGGCAAGGGGCAGAAGACACACACACACACACACACACACACACACGCACACGCACATGCACACGACACACATATAAAATGAAAACAATGGAAAAGGACCACAGTAAGACAAACCCAAAGGAAGTGAGGAACTCATCATGGTGGGTCACAGGGAGACAAGACACCCACACACAGTCAACAGTGACAGGGCAACCCGCACCGCGGTCTGCAACGGGGAGGAAGGAGAGTGGGAGTTGGCTGCCCGCCGCAGGGTCAGGGTTCGCTAACTGCCTCCCAGACCAAGGCCCGAGAACCCAACTTCGTTTCCAAGCCTGCCGTAACACTGTGCACTGCCTCTTTTGCTTGTAACACTGGGTCAAGAGAGGCAAAAGGGTAAATCCCATCCCCGAGGGAGCCTTCCACAACAGCAGCTAAGCCCGCAGAGAGCAGCACGGAGTGATCCTGTGAGAGGAGACCTACAGGGCCCATGCTCACGAGTGCCGGGCTGCTTCGGGAGGCGCTGGCCCCACCCCGCCTCCTCTTCCCTCGAAGCCACGGTCTACTCACCAGAGGTGCACCTAGGTGACCCAGTAACCCATTACAAAGCTTACAGCAAAAGCTTGAGTTAGGGAAATGGGATTTTTGTTGCTGGTGTCGTTTTGGGGGTGTCAGAGCCCAAAAAGCCGAGCTGTGAGACCCAAAAGAACTGGGAGTGTGGAAGGCCTTCTCCCAACACGCCCTTGGAACCTGGAGAGTTTCCTGGAAAGGCCAATCAGCCCTGGCTTCACAGGAGTTCAGATCTATTCTGGGTGTGGGCTAATTCTACCCTAAACTTGGTGGGATCCTGGCGGGTGCAAATTGTAAACTGTTTACTGTTTAGTTCCAGTTCCAAGATGGAAAAGTCACCTACCACTTGTATATACAATATTGTCACATGTTGATGCTTATACCTTACTATCTGCACAAACCTCCCTAGTGGAACCTTGGGATCTGAAGCTGGCCAAACTTGCTGCTGCTGCTGCTACTACTACAATTTGGCAATTATATAACTCATAATTAGAGCCCACTTCTAGAGATCACTTCTGAGTCTTCTGAACTGTCACTAAAATGTCCCTCTTCCTTTTCATTTTGATCAAACAACTGATGTTGTTTGTCTAAAAAGAGACAGCCTAAAAAGTATCTGCTGACCAAAAAAAGTCTAAATCAATAAAAATAACTTGCTGAGGCTCTTTTGTCCACTCTATAGGGAAATTCAATAACAAAATGCAACTATTTGTACCCTCTCCATCAGTCAGGAGAAAACTTTAATTTCCTATGTGATGTATACTTTCTCTTGTCAAAGATGTTGAAATTCAGTTTATTGCTTTATTCCGTTTTCTTGGAAGTAGTTTTCTTATCTTGAAGTAGTTGTACAAAGGCGTTCCATTCAGCAAAGGAATTTATGAATACAGCGTGTCTTAATGTCATTTTCTATCATCTTTTAGAGACTGCGGTAAAGAGTTTATATTGACTTAGTCGATAAAAAGTGAAACCTGAGCTCAGAGGCAGGTGAGGCTGAAACACTCCTGGATGCACCCACACCGCACTGCGCTGAGCCACACTCTGGATTCTCAAGCCCACTCACTCCCTTTCCTTACCTTTCCAACTCAGCTATCTTCTTATCTTTGTCGTTCTTTTCGTTCTCCACCTCCTTCAAGATTTCCAAGAGGCGGTCTACTTCTGCCTGGGCCTTGCTAGATTCATCTTTGTACCTGGTGATCTCTCCTTCCAGCTGCTGAATTCTGTCGTTCATCTCAGGACTGGCTCTGGCTTCCAGTGTTGCTTCATGTGCCTACCAAAAATAAAAGGAAAAAAAGAAAGAGAAGGAAAAAAGAAAGATGTGTTCAAACCCTGTCGCATACACACATAACAGCACTGTGCAAACTGTGGCCCAAGGAACTATTAACACTCCCATTTCAATAGAATACTACCAAATAGCCAATAGACAGCCTTCAAGTTATAAGAGTGTATTGTGTTTAAAAAAATCACATGGTTAAATATTTACTATATGCCCAAAAAATCATTATAAGCCAGCTAGAGTTTTACAGTTTGGTGTGATATACTAACAGTCTAGCACCTGCTAGAGTACCACATAGTACCAAAAAGGTCTACTGTTGACATTACCACAGCTGCTCTTGCTGCACCTGATTCCCCCTGGAATTCCCACTGGGCCCTCACCTCTAATTCCCTCTCCTATCTGCCGCATCTATGAACATAGTGCAAAGGTGATACCCTAGAAAACGGAGACAGGTTAGGTTAATAACATGGCTACCTTCCCCTCCTGTGGTAATGCCTTAAAGCAAGGAATCCAAACTTTACAAGACCAGCTCACTTAAAAGTAAGAAAAGGCTACATGCAGGTGGCTCACGCCTATAATCCCAGCTACTCAGGAGGCTGAGGTCTGAGGATCGTGGTTTGAGGACAGCCCCAGCATGAGACTCTCATCTCCAATGAACCACTCAAAAACCAGAAGTGGCGCTGTGACTCTAGTATAGGGCTAGGGCTAGCCTTGAGCACAAAGAAGCTCAGGCCCTGAGTTCAAGCTCCATGACAGACAAAATTCTGTCATATTCAGGACTCTGTTGTAAAAAGGCATCTAATAACATCAATACATTTCCAATCGTTTAAAACTAATTTTCAAGTCCGTCATTTTCTTCTAATATCTCGAAAGCCCTACATGTGCTACGTATTCAGTGGGGAAACCAGCCTAAGATGCCGAATAGCAGTGAAGCAGACCAAATCCCCCAAAATGTCCTGAAAAAAACATTAAAGGGGCAAAGATGTATTCTTCAGCAATGTTTAGAAAGTTGTGGTTCAAAGGACCCTGAATACATGAGAAGCATTTATACAAACTGAGCTTAACGCTTTTTGGGGATGATCCCTTGTTATCAGAGAGGGTGTGAGCTGGACACGCAAAGTCCCCCTCTGGAAACTACAAGATGCCTTGTGAAAACAAGGGAAGCACGGAGCGAAGAACTAGGCTGGAGCCATGGCACCCTGTCCATCGTCCCCCAGGCTGTGGAACAAGGGGCATTCTGGTATGTATCCCCTTCCAGGAAGTATAACCTGCTGGAAACATGGAGAATTTCACACTGCTGTCTCTCACACTTCACCCATAAGCAAACCGCAGACTTGACCTTCTTCTACACTGCCATGAATACAACAGCAGGGTGAGTGCTACTCCCTGGTCAAGTTCTGCCAGGTGCGTGTGATGTGAGCCCAGACAGGCGCTGCACCCACCTTCCGCAGCTGGGCCTCCACCTTCAGGCACTCCTCCTTCTTCTGCTGCAGGGCGATCTCCAGCGTCTTCAGCCGCGAGTCCTTTTTCAGCCCCGAGGAAGCCAGGGAGGATGCGTGCTCTTTCAGATCCAAGAGCGAAGCCTGGAAGAGCAAGACACAGCGAGAATAAGCACCACAGGGAGAAATGCAGTGGTCAGAGTTCTTGCTGCTCACCATCTCAGAAACACAGGAGAACTGGTAAACGATACCAGCTTTCCCTTCAGTACTCATTGAAGTGAGGAGGACACCGAGTGCAGCACCCACTCTCACAGAACAGAAACAGATGAAGCTCTGTGCATGTTTGCAGCCGAGCTCAGAAGTGACATGAACCTCAACAGACAACTCTCTTTTTACAGGAAGGTCTACTGGTAACTCAGGTCCATACGTCCCCTTATGCATCCGGGAATCCCGAGGAAGACCGTGAAGCGCTTGCTTTGCCAGCTCGTTCCAAGGGCCTCGGCCTTCTTACTATTTAGGTCACGTTAACAGCATTCTTCAAATGCAAGATTAAAATATACTTTTATCTAACTTAATAGCTCTTTAAGTAGTTTCTCTTTTTTTTGTCGATTGTAGAGCTTGAACTCTGGGCCTGCGCGCTGTCCCTCAGCTCTTCGGTTCAAGGCAAGCGCGCTACCACTTGAGCCACAGCGCCACTTCCGGTTTTCTGAGTGGTTTTTTTTTTTTTTTTTTTTTTATTGGAGATCAGACTCTCACGGAGTTTCCTGTCCAGGCTGGCTTTGAACCGTGATCCTCAGATCTCAGCCTCCTGAGTAGCTAGGATGACAGGCGTGAGCCACCAGCGCCTGGCTGCCAGGCTCCTTTTGTGTGTCACTTTTCTTACCAGTGACACCATTATTTCCCCAACCAGCCCTTACTAGATTTACAGAACTGTCACTAACAAGTAAGAAACTTCACTGGAAACAGTGAAAGACTTAGGATACGAGTGAACCAATCTGCGCTTTGTGTCTTCTTATTTTTGTGACTTCGCTAGGAGACCGTCACAAAAGCCTGCCAGGGAGTACTCAGGGGATCGGCTCCCAGGACACGTGTGTGGGTGTGCTGTGCGCACAGCCAGGCCAGGACCAGGCAAACCGAGCAAGGCCTCTGGCTGGGGATCATAACCTCTTTCTCGGAGAGGTCGCCTTGCAGTACGCTGACTTTCTCTTTCAACTCTTTAAGGTCTTTTTTGTAGTTATCAATTTCCTCTTGCTTCTCTCGCTCATCTCGGTCCCGCTGCTCCTTTAAGCGCTCGATTGTCCGCTCCTGAGAAGAGAGACCACAGGAAAGGTTTGTTTGCATTTCAAAGACTGATTCAGATGACCAAATGTGATACCCACATCCTCTTCTCCAAAGACAGTAAGTCAGATTTTACCTTTTCTGCAGTAATGGGGTTTAAACTCAGGGCCTTGAGCTTGCTAGGCAGGTACACTGAGCCACACCCCAGCCATATGTTTGAGATAAGAGTCAATTCCTTTGCAGGCATGTGCTTGGGCCACTGTCCAATTGTCTTTTGCTTCCCACCACAGCAGGGAAGGTAAGTGCAAAGCACTGGGCCAGACAGTAAGTGGGAAGGGTCACACAAAGTTTTTTGCCCAGGTTGGCATCAAATCAAAATCCTCCCAATCTCAGCCCCCTAAGTAGCTGGGGATGCAGACATGAGCAACCAATACCTGGCTCAAAAATGTACTTTTTCAAGAACTCATCCTTCCCATCTTTCTACATCAAAGATCTGACCTGGTTTTTCTAGGTTATTTTACAAATCATAAATTCATTAAAAGCACCACAATGTTTTCTTGGAATACTCTTCATTTAAATTCAACTTCCAAATGACTACAAACTTACACATACACCCTTAGGACAGTAAGTAACAAATACTTCTTCTTTATACATTGTCTTCAAAGCAATGGAAAACAACTTAAAATTCACATATTTGCCTCTCCACCCACACCCCCCAAAAAAAAAACCTGAGAAGGATATTGACTTTAGAGTATAAAGGAGAATAGAGAAGGAAAAAAAATGAAACTACTGCCAGAAAGTTTGAAAGTCAAAGCAACTTTGGCGTACTTCTGGGTAATATTTCTAAATATACCTAGGAAGCAAGCTTTGAGTCCAACCGTTCGCCTAAAGCCTAATGGAAGTGACTCTCATTCCTCTTTTTTTAAAAATCCTATTAAAATGTCCCACAGAAATGCATAGAGTTAACTTTAAGGCATTAACACTGGTTAAATTAGGCCACTGCTTAAGTCAATCAACCAAGGCTGAAAAGAAGGTTTGCTCATGAAGGCAAAATAAATTAATGAGGCCAGGGGCAAGAAAATCAGCCAGTGCATTATAATCATTAATGTATGATGTATAATGAATGTATTAGGCGCAGAAGGGGAAGAGCACAGAGTAGGTCACACCACGTGCTGCCTCCTGTGGACCAGTGTCTGGTGTGCCCACAGCCCCACAGGCTCTCTGACAACGGAAAGACGGAATCCAGGCCCGGCGGGATTCTGCACCTGGGAGAGGGACTGCCTGCCTGGCGGGAGGGGCTTTTACAGGCAGCACCCAGGAAGCTTTCGCTCCCTTCACACTGTCTATTGCTCGTCCCCAGGGAGGAGTCTCAGGAGAGTGGGAAAGGCCCCGGGGCGCCCACCTTCTCCGCGAGGGCCTCCTCCAGCGTGGTCAGGGCGGTGTCTGTGTTGGTGGTGTCGGCCTGCAAGGACTTCACGCGCTCCTTCAAGCTACTCATCTGCTTCTCCTTGTCTCTAAGCTGCTCCTGAAGATTTTCAATCTGCATGCATGAGAAAATGGAAGTAGGCACAAAGGGATCAAGTCAGGGCAGGTCAGGGGTTTCTGAGGAGATAATGGAAACTAAGCGTTGAGGGATCACATGCAAAACCTTAAGGCCAGAATTTGGTGTTGGAACAGAAAAAAGAGGCATGCGCGTATGAGCACACGCACGTGCACACACGCGTGCACACACACACACTATGGGCGTACACCCAAAAACACAGCTTCCTAACAGCAGGGAAGGCAGCTGGGGGAAAGACCCAGCACACAGGCGGCAGTGGGGGGCACGGGACTGCCTCTAAGTGCCCCTGTAGATGCTGAGAAAGTTGTTGACAGCAAACTGAAGGAAAACACAGGTTCGAGCCGGTAGACGGTGAGAAAAACCAGCAGTATAAAGGTGGCTCTAAGGGGTGACCTCAGGTCTGCATTCTTCCTAGACAGGGACTCAGCCACCTGAGCCACACCCCCAACTCTCTGCTCTGCATTTGTGAAATACAGTCTCACTTTTCCCCGGGCCACATTGGACCTTGATCCTCCAACGTACACGTCTTGCCATTGTTGGAGTGGCAGGAATGCATCACTATGCCCAGCCTTTTCTGTAGAGATGGTAGCCCACAAACCTTTCTGACTAGTTTAGCCTGGAACCACAACCCTCCTGACTTCAGCCTCCCACACTGCTGGATGGCAGGTGCTGAGCCCCTGGTGGACAGCCCGGAAAACCTTTGTAATTAAATGCTGGTGTTGGGTTAGATTTTTACATCATCCTTTATGTGGGGTATGTCTATTAAAAACCATCCTGGGGCTGGGAAGGTGGCTCAGTGGTAGAGCACTTGCCTAGCATACATGAAGCCCTGGGTTCCATTCCTCAGGACTACACGCACAGAAAAGGCCAGACGTGGCACTGTGGCTAGAGCACTAGCCTTGAGCAAAAGAAGCTCAGGGACAGTGCTCAGGCCATGAGTTCAAGCCCCAAGACTGACAAAAATTAATGATTTGTATAACCTGAAAAACTGCTTCACAGGAAGGGGAAAAAAAACCTGCTAGAAGGAAAAGCTGAGGAAGCTGGCTGTGGCAGAAAGAGAAGGTAAAGAACAAGACCCCTGTATGATGCTAGCAGCTGTTTTCTGAGTAGGAAACACGTTCTGGTGTGGCAGCAAGGAGGAACACAGGGAATCCTTTCATCAGGGCTTGGGGTAAGAGCTCCTCTACCCGACGTGACAGCCTTCCCACAGAGGGACTGTCGGCTGGGCGCGGCTTGCAAGCAGAAGGAAGGCAATACGGCCAGCACTTCCACACTGGATCAAGCCCCGCTTTCTAAATCCTTTGTCCCTTTCTGGATACCCATCTGTGCCTTTATTACTGTGTCCCGTTCCTCTGCAGGGTCTCCTGAGAAACAACTGAGCACAAGCTTTATCTGTACTGCCTGGACAGTTTAAATTGAGTGCACCGTGCAAGAGCGCTGCCTGCTGGAACTCACACGCATGTGGTGCACGTGGCTACACGGCGTACTGCCTGCTGGAACTCACACGCGTGTGGCGCACATGGCTACACGGCGTACTGCCTGCTGGAACTCACGCGTGTGGCGCACGTGGCTACACGGCGCGCTGCCTGCTGGAACTCACGCGTGTGGCGCACGTGGCTACACGGCGCGCTGCCTGCTGGAACTCACACGCATGTGGTGCACGTGGCTACACGGCGTGCTGCCTGCTGGAACTCGCACGCATGTGACACACGTGGCTACACGGCGTACTGCCTGCTGGAACTCACACGCATGTGGTGCACGTGGCTACACGGCGTACTGCCTGCTGGAACTCACACGCATGTGACACACGTGGCTACACGGCGTACTGCCTGCTGGAACTCACACGCATGTGGACGTGGCTACACGGCGTACTGCCTGCTGGAACTCACACGCATGTGGTGCACGTGGCTACACGGCGTACTGCCTGCTGGAACTCACACGCATGTGGCGCACGTGGCTACACGGCGTGCTGCCTGCTGGAACTCACACGCATGTGGCACACGTGGCTACGCTGCCAACACACAGAGAAAGTGCCTGGGTGAGCGAAGTCACTGAGTTAAAAGACCAAAGAGCTTATGTTGTAGTAAGGTTAACATTGCTTTCTGGTTGTGAAAGTATTAGGAAATCCTTGTTGGGATTAAGCCTCCGCCCTTGAAAACGCAGCATATCTCCAAAGGCTATATTCTCCCAGGTCCAGTCGTACAGTTTCCAAGAAAATGACAGTAAACAGTTTCTACATTCCCCTAGCTGAAGAACACCAATCCATCCCAAGCCTGCAAAGTTGGTTTCTACACACAAAAAACAGTACAATGCACCATATTATTAGGATAAACGTCAAAAACCACACGATCATCTCAATAGATGCAGAAAGAAGTGTTTTTGTTGTTTTTTAAATGCAATACCTGAGGCCAGGAGCTGGGGGCTCATGCCTATAATTCTAACTACTGAGGAGGGTGAGATCTGTGGTTTGAGTGTTCAAAGCCAGCCTGGGTAAGAAAGTCCGTGAGACTCTTACCTCCAATGAACCACCAAAAAGCCAGAAGGCGATCTGTAGCTCAAGTGGTAAAGCCATTTACAATAACATCTAAAAGGATAAAATATTTAGGAATAAGTTTATCCAAAATGTGTAAGACTTGTAAACTTAAAACTACAAAATAATAATCTGTAAAAGAGAAATCAAAGGCTGCTGTCCATGAACTGAAAGGCACCGAGTCCCACAGCTCTCCAGTCGGCAGACTTGAGAAGACAGCGCTCCTGTGTGAGGTCTCCTGGGCTTCTCAGGGAAAACGAATCTTCTCAGTCATTCTCAGCGTCCATCTCCCCGGCCGCGGGCCCATCCTCCTGCGCCCCATACTTTGCTCTGCGCTCTTTTCCTATGAATTATTCTAAACTTGTGCAAAGCAATTTCAGACTGCTCAGAATTCTTTCTGAGTTGAAACAGCTTCCTCTGGGAGCAGTGGAGGACAGCTAAGCACTCCAAAGAATAGGAAAACTCCGAGCAGAACAAACATTCCTCTTCCATTCTGATTAACAAGGCTATTCTGCCACAAGTCCACGGAGACGGAGTGAGAACTTCCATCACTATTCACTCAACGCCTTGACCTCACTGAGGCAGGTATCTCTGAACATGGACATGTGATCTCCAGGCGGCTGGCTTCTCTGTGGAATGCTGGGTCTGCCCGCCTCTCAGAGAGCAAAGCACCTTCTTTCTCCCTGTCCCGCCCCCCTCACCCCCCTGCCTCCCCTCCTCACGAGTCAGGTCAGGGAACCCACGGAATATCAGGCCACTGCTCTGAGGCCTGTGACAATTGCTGAGACACAAAGTAGATGGTGTAGGCGGGAGCAACAGCCATTAGATAAGGGACCATCCACATGTCACACCCAAGTGACACTGCCTACTTCTACTTCGGAGGCAAGCCGCCCTCAGGCATCCTTGCTGAATTCCAGATAGACAAGTGAGCAAGCGGAGGAAAACACAAAACACTTCTGCCACTAAGTGCCAGGTGATTATTAGGGAGCAATAGGTTTTTCTCCACTGATCATAAAACAATGCTTCTCTATGAATGTCTAGTCTGAACTTAATTCGAGGTGAGAATAGAGGAGGGAGGAGGGCTGTGTGGTGTCTTGGGGCTCTAGAAAAGGGAGGGACCTATCATAATTGGAAGGTTTTACAGCAAGGTGATATGAAAATCTCCCTGTCCCTAAGGAACAAACTTCAGCCATAATAACAAGCCTCCTGTATAGATCAGCACGGCGCTGGTGCACCAGGGGTGGAATTACACCGCATTCCCGTTGTCCACCTCTAATTCTCCCCAAAGGCAGGTGGGGGTGAGGAAGGTCCTCGATGGGCACTCACTGCCCCACATCCATTCACCTGCTACTCCTCTCGTCAGTATCTAAAGAGGTTGACTTAGCAGCTGTAAGTGAGAAGTGAAAAGAAAAGGAAATGGGAAAATGACTAAGTAAACAAATCGAGTTTCCAAATTAAATTCAATTAGGGCTTAATTGGATCTTTTCTTATGTCTTAGCTTGGTTACTAGCTAGCTTGAGCCTTTCGGATAATAATATTTAGAAAATATTGAAAATTTTTTTAAATGAAAAAGCAAATTATTTTCTCTGAATAAAGAGTAAAATTTGGCTTTGGTGGGAAAATATAGTCTCCATTTGAAGAGCGAGGAAACCGACAGCCCCCCTCCCCTTTCTCCCCCCCCAACTCCAGGAGGAGAGAAGCCCCAAGGGCAGCCCCAGAAGCACCTGGGACAAGCGTCCTTTGCCTGGTAGGTGTCAGTCAGCGGCTGCTGCTTTTAAATCGAAAACTCAGAGCATCAAAAGGCAGGGAAGCAGCAAAGCTGCAGAAGGAGGGAAGGGGCCCCGGCCAGCATCTGCGTGAGCAAATTAAAATTGTGGGCAACAGCATCATTTATAATCAATCAAGCAAGAAGCTGCACGATTTTAACACAGATTCTGGATGCAGCTCAGACTCAAATGCTCAATTACATTTTCCAGGTCAATGATTCATTATAAAGGTAAGAAATTTACTGTAACACAAAACTACTTCAAACCATAGGGGAGGCTGGGGGGGGGGCGGCACCAATCCCATTGTGTGTGCCTGCCATCTGGCATTGTCCCACAGCAGTGGAAGCAAAGGGCATAAATATGTAAACCACCTAGAAAGCCAGGAGACCATGGGGGAGGGGCCGCGGCCCCGGCAGAGCCACACAGAGTCGGGAATGGGACCCAAGGCCTGGCCCTTGCCACAGCTCACTCACGCTCCTGCTCCCCCCCCCCCCCCCTCCCCCCCCCCCCCCCACTTACATTTCACACACGTAACTTGGAAAAGTATTACTCCTTGTCAGTGCTCTTCCCTAAATAGTCCCATATGGAATTATTACTAGAGAATACAAGTAGCAAACCACAAGAAAGGGCTGGCAACACTGGCCCTCTCTGACCCCTCCAGAGTCAGGGTCCGCAAAGCAGCGCAGCGGACACACGCACAGGGGCTCACGCTCGGCTGAGCAGTCACATCGTAGTCTCTTCCTGTGGATAAGTCTCTAACATTGTTGACTCGGGAGCTTTCAGGGACAGAAGGAAGAAAAACTAAATTCTGTTTGCTTCCTTAATAAACAAACAGGAAAACACAAGTGAGTATATTCACCGAAACCTTTTTTTGCTGTGTGAGGATCGGACACCATCTTCTCACAGACCAGGAAATTTATGGGTTCAGAATAGAAGGCAAAGGCCTTTGCCGGCAGAGTTCTGAGAGGGTCTATAAGTGCATTACAGAGTGTCTGAGGAGGGGAGAGGCAATCCGGGCTGACATGGGAAGGAAAGGAATCCTATTTCCCCCCCCCC